ACTATTGCTGAATTGCTCAACGTTGTCGACCATTTGTCTCATTTCTGCACCCGAGTGGGAGAGAAGGGCAAGATCATCAGCACAGGTGACCTGAGGGATGTGTATGTTTCCGACAGTGGCACCCTGATATTTACCCTCTAGTTGGGGTTATTGTAGCGCTTATAATGCTCTGTTGAGAGGACTCCTCCTTGTCTAACACCTTGCAGTAGATTGATTTCCTTAGAGAGTGTTCCTTGCCATTTTACTCTGGATGTCATATTCTCATAGAGGTTATGTAAAAGGATCCAGTCTGGGCCTTGTATACCATCGAAGAACAGTTGGTGGAGGAGGATTTCATGATTTACCACATCGAACGCCTTCTGTGTATCTAAGGTCGTGAGTAATAGTTTCTTCTTGTTTGATTTGGCTTCTAGTTGGCATTCTGTAATAATTAGGGCTGATTTTGCTGGTGAGGTTCCTTTTGTGAAGCTCGATTGGAGTTGGGACTGGGTTCTCAGAAGGATCGTTTCATGTCTGCTCTTTAGTACATGTTCTAGTATATTTAGTAGTATAGGAGTAACAGTGATTCCTCTGTAATTCCCTGGTTTATCTGTTGGACCTTTCTTATGTACAGGGGTTAGCAGGCCGAGTTTGAGGTTTTCTGGTACCTCTTTCTGCTGCAATATGGCATTTATAATAGCCTTCAGGTTATCCAGAATCCTATTTCCTGCCATCTTGAGATGTTCACAGGTCATGCCATATGCATCAGGGCCCTTGTTGTTGTGTAGCTTTGAGACTGCTGCTTTGATCTCAACTATACTAGCTGGTCTGATGTCGAGTCCATCTGCCATGCATATAGATTTAATGATCCTGTTGTCAAGTTGGATATCCCTCAGGTAATCATCATGGAAAAGGTCATCTTTCAATGGAAGAGCTAGAGTTTGGAAATAATCGGCCCATCCATCTTTGATCTCGTCTGCATTACTAAGCATCCTCCCATCCACCATAAGCTGGGTTGTACTGTGTGTGCCTGTGGACCGTTGGAGCTTAATCAATTTGTGGAAGGTCTTCAGGTCTCCTTTTGAAGCCATGATGTTGGTGACTTTTTCTATTTGCTTGTCACAAGCCTGTTTCCTCTGGATCGTTCTAAGAGATTCCTTTGCTTGACGTATTGCTATATTTGCAGGGTGTTGTCTGCTGGAGGGGCGACCATGTAGTCTCCATGTCCACCATGCCTTCTTGCTAGTTTTCGAGGCTTCCTTAACCGCTGGGTCAAGTGGTCTTTTCTTGCGTTTCCTCTTGCTACCATTTTCTCCGCTGTGCCCCGGGATACTTATTCGCGCCGCATAATGTAGGGTTTCAGTTAGATGGTTTATAGCATCATCCAAGGATTTTGGAGAGTCTATTTGTGTTGGGTCCAAGGTCCGTTTGACTTCTGCCTTATACCTCTGTTGATCGCATTTATGCCATGCTGGTCTTGAACTGGTAGGATGCGGATAATCTTTGGTATGGAGGTTGATACTGATTGTTGTAGAGATACTCGTGTGGTCTGAAGTATTCCTATGGTCGGCATGGTCAACATGTAGATCCAGTAGTAGTTCGTAAGCCTTTTTGTTCATGAGAATATATTCTATTTTGGCTGTATTTTCTCCACTTGCATGCCTGAATGTAGGTGTTCCATCCTGCTTGTTGTACAGTTGGTTGTCCTTGCAGAACTGTTCCAGAACAGGTCTCGGTCATTTCTCGGGGTTCTCCGTAGTGAGGAGTTCATGTCTCCACAGAGTAGTACTGCGTGCGTTCCAGTGAATTTAAGTAAGACTTCACGCACCTCATCCAGTATTTCAATGTAGACTGCTCTGGAGTTATTTCCCCTTGAGGGTAGGTAGGCATTGATAATACACATTTTGGGATCTGTATCCAGTTCAATAACTGTTATTCTGTCACCACCATCTGGATGTTTCGTTGTTTTTATGTCCCAATCATTCCTGCAGAGTATGGCAGTGCCTCTATATCCACGAGGTACCTGTAGGGGGGGTATTGGGTTTTTGGTATCAACAGATTTTCCGAATACTTCATGTTTATTAGAAAGGTCATTCATCATCAAGATCTCAAAGTCGTATAGCCAGTGTTCTTGTAGACACACTACATCATGGTTTTGAAGGAGTTCCTCAACGTAGGTCCTGTTACCTTTGCCGTTTTTTTCATTAAGTGTAGCTACTTTAATGGGCTCGCGAGTGTTGTCGACGGGTTCCGTCCTCTTTGCTCCGAAGCTCGGCCGTAGGACAAACAAGACAGTTGTCCATTTTGATGTTCCTTGGTTATCTGCTCCTTGGTGTTCTCTATTTCTGATGAGATGGAGTGATCAGGGCTTGTTATCTCACTTTGGTTTGGGGCAGGAACTGCGTCATAACTTTTGTTATATTTGGCGCATCAAAATATATTTTTTAGGAAAGTATCGGTATAGGACACTGTCAACAAAATGGCCGCCATGGATCTTTCAAAAATGTTGGAATTTATAATTTTTTAAGGTGGTCGCTAAAGATAGCATCTATCCTATTTTACATGTTTAATAGATATTTTCCAATGCATTCCAAATTTGGCATGTAGGTGTATGATGGTACCGCGAACTCAACCACGACATCCGTTTTCTTATTTGACAAAATGGCTGACATGTACTGGTTACTGATTGATGGAAATTTAAATATTGTTCGATTTTTGTGAAAATTGGTTTACAGGGGTATTGGAGGACTGCTAATTCAATCGCATAGGTTATGTTGCCATATCAACCACATGGAGGCTTCAGATTGGTCGAAATTCAGATATTGTTCGAGTTCACTCAAATTTAGTATGAAGGTGTTTTATGCCATTGTGATCCTTTTCTGATGTATTTTTGCGACTATGTGGGATGTTTGGGGGACTTCTGTAATGGTTCCCTCATTACAATTAGTACTTGTTTTTAATGTGTTTGTTCCATACTCGTAATGGAGAAGAAAATAGGCGACGGTAGACGATGTCAACTTTTGACTGTACAAGATAATTAATAGCTAATACATTTGTGTATTTGTGTTCAGATTTATTTATATCGTATCGTGGCAATATAAATCCGTAAATGATATCCGTATACTGCGAAAGACTCGTCATCTGTTCATTTTTTAATTTTTACTTGAGACCTTTAACATCCGGTATACACAGAATTTTTAAAGGACGCCTGCTGTTGTAATTTCATCTGCAACTGTGTTGGAATGATATGACTTCTGGCAGTAGCTCGTCAAATTTGTTCATTTACACTGTCGTTGATGGATAATAATATATGCCTCAGGAACCTATACATGCAAATAAAGTCGTCAACTCTAAATATATCTAACGGCTGACTCCTCGCACGAAAAGTTGCTCTCTTCCAAGGGTTGCTTGATTATTATTCCGTTGCAAAATAAAAAAGTTTTTCTTGTGTTGTTGGTTATAGTAACGTTTAATCTTACGTGTACACAAGGGCAGACGTAGACTAACATGTAAATTCAGACGTAACTTTACGTTACGACTTTTAGTGAAATTGGTTTTAGACGTAAGTTCCGTCTACGTCTACGTGAACGTCTACGTGTGGACTTACGACCTTTAGTGAAACTGGGTCCTGGTGTTAAGTAGCTTAAGCTGAAATTAATATGGGAAAAAGGGGCATCAAAGGTTGAAAACAAAGTTTGAAATATGTTAAACAGTTTCATCTTGATGAAAAAAATCTGCCATAACACATTTTAATATGCGGATAAATGAATGAGCCCTTTGAGTCTTTACGATAGAAGTATGGCCGTCTTTCCATTAGTAATACCTGACCCTGCTTGACAACCTTCCGTGGAGATGCTTTTACATGTTATCAGAAGAATATTGGGATACCATGATATGATGGTCGTATCCTGGTGATATTTCTTTTGCCTATATACGATATAAAATAGATCGGACAACATTTAAATTATTGATAAATTAGAACAGATGTGTGCGCGATGTGCGAACGATTGAATTGCTTGCACACATTTGCGCGGACGATGGACGAACGTTGTGCAAAGACAATCGTGGTTGGTGTAAATTGAGAAATGGCTTAACAATATATACGGTTTCATGTTTTAACATATAAAATTGATTTTTTTAAGTATGTTTCTATATTCTGCTTACATCTATTAGCTGATCGTTCTATATTTTCTTAAATTAAGAAACGGTGTTTCGGTGTTTTGAAACAACCCAAATTGAGTCTCAGTTAAATATACAGGAAAACATAGCCACTTTGTACATGTACCTAGACCGTAGATTTCCTCATCCGAGACAGTTACGTAAGTCGTCGAGGTGTGAAAACACAGGTAAAGGGGAGCTACATGTTTAGACCAAACCGAAGTCATTTAACGTTCAGATGTGTTTTCACAACGGTCATACGGTATCGCATACTAGCTCTCTGTGTCAGGCACAGGCAAGGTAAAGCTCCGGTTACTCATGGCATAAGCTGACGCACAGCTGGCTGCAAGAGCATAACGAACTATGAACAGCCGACTTACTTTTATCCCCATAATTCCAAATTGATGTTACGTATATGCGCTAATTGATACCATTTACAGCGAAAAACAACTAACAAAGTCAACAAATACATTTCAAACTTATAAATCTGCAAACTTTTATTTGTATGGTCGGGTGGTGCAGTGAATAACACACTTGCCTCTCACCAAGGCGACTGGGTACAATTCCTCGATTGAACGTGAAATGGTATAGGATCAGCAAGAGTGATTAATATAAGTTAAAATAACTTGTTTCATAAATATTGTAAAATAAATAAAGTTTTATGTAAAATGTATACTGTAACTTAGAAGAAGTAGTTCGGACTAAAAAAAAATTGCAGACAGACGAGTGGACACTTTCTTTTAAGTAAACCATTGAAGATGATTCAAAAAAATATTTCTATTGCGTTTTTATAATGATGATACTCATATATTAATATATGTCCTGAAAATGTGTACTGTAATGCGTGTCCATATCATTTCCAGGGGAGACCGAAACATGGATGGGTAGAGGCATCCAACCCAAAGATTCCGAGATCAATATACAAACAGCTGAAAGAATTCCGGAAGGGGGTGTCTTCTTACGCCGTGGATAAAATCTACAAGGTACCCCACATAATGCTTTTTTTCGAGATCTATAAGTAATCTCCAGTTGATTATAACGGCTCTGCTAGAAAACAAAAATTGTTTCACTGAAATAATCATCGTTCTGCAAATATGAACACCGTTAAACAATAAGAAATGTATTAAACCTATGCAGTCGTCATTTATTTAAATCAATGGTCCATAGGAATAATTATCTTTGTAACAAGTCATTTCTAAACCCATGCAATTCATACAGTTTCAGTGATGACCATAATTGCTTTTATCACATGTGATGAAGAAGTAAGAAGCGTTTTCATTGGGGAATATCAGTATAGTTCCATTAACCTGTGTGAACTTTGAAAGAGTGAAAATTGATATTGTTTTTATTTGTTTTCGTGACCGAATTAAGAATCTTTCTAAAAAAAAAGACTTTTTCATGTTATTCCCAACAAGTGATTGGCCAGGAGTGAATGATTTTTGTTGGAGGACTGGGTGTTTCTAAAAATAGAATTATGACATGTCTCCAAACAACGCATCGTCCCGCTCCCGAATTGTTTTGTTGTGTTTTTTTTCACATTGCTTACATCACTGGTTTGAAAATAATGAAACAATTGTAGCCTTAGACCGAGGACGCAGTCCGATGTCAATATATCTTTTCTCGGGTCGATAAATCCAGGTATCGACCTCAGCCAAAGGCTATAATTGAATAATATTGATCTGTTCTTACTTTTATCAGTCTTTTTAAAATTGAATTGAACATACATTTCTTAGATCAGAAACCATGATAACATACCAGCAGTCGGTGGAGGCCATCTTTTGCGATTACGCTACGTCATAGACCTTCTGTTGTAGACTTGTCGATATATACCGAGGTTTAACATACATAAGTTTTCTTTGATTTTATGCTTTATTTTTTGCGATGAGAAGTTTTCTTTAATGAAATTATCACAAATTAAAACTCTGAATGCACAACTGGTTTGAATAACAATGAATCTATTATGTCTTTCCGTGCCAAATGTAAACATTTTATTTTGTGTAAGTTGATGCCACTTTCTTCTGGCACACTTTACATTATCATAAATTACATTGTATGCATTGTATTCTAAAGTTGCTTAATGCGTAAAGGTTTTTTGTTGTTTTTTTTATTTCAGAATATTTTAATGTACTGATGTTATGTACAAAAGGAATTGGGCAAAAGGCGCTATGCCTATATCAGCCCTCTCCTTACAAAACATAATAGTTTATATACATCATATAAGCGGTACATTTTACATATGTTTCTTTAAGTATCAGAATAAGAGATTATTTGTACTTTGATTTTGGTAAGACAATACATATTGCAATTGTTGTGAGGGATTATTTGACAATATTATTTAAAAATATAATAAAAACGCCAGGAATCTCTTATGTAGTTCTGAACTGTCTCCACAATATCTTTATTTATATTTATGTCTTGTGATTGAAAACCATAAATAAAAGTTTGGATATTGAGTGAAATAGCATCACATATGGCTGGCAGAGTTCAGTTATATTTTTCTTTGGTTAGTATATAGAGGACAGTGCAAGAAGAAGTGATTGAGATTTTGGAAAAGGGAACCTGAATTCAAATTACTTGCAGAATTTCTTAACTGACATACTGTTATGTTAACTTTTCTATCACCGTGATATTTACAAATATTACTGCATAGTAGTTGAACAACCATATTGGATGAACGTAAACATGCCCTTTTCAGAGCTCCAAGATATGTCCTAGTTGGAAACAGACAGGCTGGATTATTCCATTCTGACATTAGGTTTTATGCTAGAATTATATATAGGTGTTCTTGGTAATGAAACATCAAATAATATAATATGTCGATAGTTGTAATGATCAATGTTATTAAAAAGGGCAGTATTAAGTCTGAGAGATATAATGGACAATTGTTGTTCAAAATTAAAAAAAAAAAATGCGATATTTTGATGTGAATGTCTTCTTTTGCTAAGCGTAACAAAGCCAGTCTCTCTATATAAAATATCTTGGCCTGTTCCCCGTCTTAAACTATAAATAATGCGTGCTGCTTCAAGTTGAATTGACTCTAAGACGTTGCACTCTCTCTGGGAACAGCTAGCCCATACAACATCAGCATATTCTAGGATGTCTCAAGAGATTTTTTATCAATCTTAAAGTTGGCATTGCCATTGAAAATAAGACCAATATGTTTATGATGAACAACGTTATTACTAGATGCATTATTGAAAAATAGGTCAGGATGCAACGTCTCAAAGTCTAATATCTAATAAGAAAAAGGGAGAGCCTTCATTTTATCCGGATTGAAGATTATACCCCATTTATCCGCCCAAATAGAAATTGATATATTTTCTTATTTTCCGTAAAATAAATATTTATTCTAGCTACTCGGGAATGGACATATTCCTACACCTATATCACTTGTTTAAACACCATTATACAGATTTGTTTTACTTTTTTGCATATTGGATAACAGGAACACGCTTCTGACAAGTTTTGGTTTGAGGTAAAAACAGTTCCCAACTTTGTCCAGAAATGTATCGAGTTATGCTGGCTGATGTGCATTCAGGACCTGCCCTTGGCTATCGGTAAGGATGCGACCGAAGGCGTTACTTTCGATACCAGCATGTACAAGCCGTACACCAACAGTGGGACAGTTGTATCATACAACGTGTGGCCGCCCTTACTCCTCCACGAAAATGGACCACTTCTTGTGAAAGGAGTAGTTCAACCACAGAAAGTGGAGAGGAAGAACAAAATAGAGCGTGGGGATCTGAATGGGATGAAAGCTACTGCGGCCGCAAAACAACGAACGGATGTCTATCGTTCAAGTGCTCGTGATCATGTCACATCAAGAAACACATCTGGTCAGGACCAGGACAACCAAAGCACGCGGCCATCCACAAACTACACACAGCAATCAGTCTGTCCCTATACAGGACACAAACTTATCCAAAGCGATGGTGTAACCTATATACAGTTAGGCGGAAATCATTACGACTATGATGAATATAAGCGCCTCATTCTAAAGAAAGAAGAATCGTATGCATAACTAGTTTGAACTATACTCATGTTTTTGAAGTGGGTATGCATCTAATTTGACTCAGATTGTTTCAGATAGTTTCAACGAAGACAGTGTTTACATATTTGGAACAAAATAAATCTTAGATAAGACATCTTTACCGATGGAATGCTTTATGAGTGATGTTCAGTAGTTGTGGACTGAAATTATCATTTGAAACAATAACAATACACTGCAAACTTGTAAAGAATGTCGAGAGAGTGACTACGTCTTCCCATCGATTAGAGGATACGTGCGAAGGAAAGTTAAATATATAAAGCATTCATCAAATGATAACTATAATTCTTTTAGTAAATGCTTTTCCAAATTTGATCATCGAAAAGATTCAAATGTTAATGACTTGCTTTATCCAAGTCTATACATGTGACTGGGTTAGAGCATCACATGCTAACAAATTTGGATTTTAACTGGATGACTATGATGCTGATATGTACAGGTGGGCATTATTATTGTCTAGATAAACCCGTATTTTATCAGTATAAGCACGATTTTGACATGGCTAGTAAAGTGTAGAAAAAAACTTGTTATTGGGCGGTATTGGCAAAATTACCTTTGGCGACAATGACAAAAAAAATGGAATATTTTAGATTACAGGACTCATTCTTAATATTTTTATAGATGTAAATATTTATTAGAATACCAATTATCAAAAGTAAAATATAAAAAAAGATAAAACTTTGTTTTTGTGGATCTTTTTTTTATGATTTACCAAAAAAATCTATTCCCTTTCCTAGCATCGTCGACAGTATCAGAAATTTACTATGGAACAGTTGTTTGCTTTTTTGTACACACTATAAATCTAAGATATGTTACTTTCTATTAAATTTTGTTATTCGTAGATCGGTATGTAAACAAGAAAGATATTTAAAAGAATTCCCTCGGGCATAAAGCTGAGACGTATTTTTGCATCATATTTCAACCAGTTTATTGACGTAACATTATCCGTTTTTTAATGCATATTTAAAAAAAACTGAACAGAGGGATGAATTGAGGGCTATAAATGTAAAGATAAGGTATATATGTTTGGTAAATTATTGAATGTACCAAACCCACTCACCTTCAATAAATTATTGAGATGATTCAAACTTAATTATTGCTTAAACTCTTTACTCAAGGAACATATTTTGTGTTTCCTTTTGGTGTCAAAATTGCCAAAAGTGTGGTATAAAAAAAGTAAAAATTTGAAGTGAGAAACCTTAATGGCCACTTCTTTATGATATATATATGACATGGTTTGTTGTGCGTGCTACGGTGCCGAGTCTGCCTTAAACATCCCCAAAAAAGGAAAAATACCAGGTAAAAATATTCTGGAGGTAACCTTGTGATGGTTTCACGACCGTTAACTTACTTCCATTCTTTAGTATTAGCCTTTCAGTCTCTTCTGTTATAAGGTGTTAATATGTCACAGTGGCTACTGAGGGGCGCGTTCTTTAATTCAAGATTTTAAGGACAATGTGTCCTATTGAAAAGGAAAACAAGTTAGTTATCCAGGTAAGCTATAATATGGACAAAATACTCTGGCATTAACAGGAAAATATCCTCGACTCTCAGGGAATCACTTTGAGAAAAAACTATGTTTCAGTCTTTCAACAATAATTCTATAGTCAACAGTAAAAAAGCTGTATTTATATTTGTTTCCAGTCTATCACAATGAAAAAACTTATCTGAATTCTTTATATCACCATCACACAATTTCTTAAACTGCTTTTTAATAATAAAAAAGAACGGCAATTGAAGAGTGTAATTACCTCAAGTATATTACTAATATGTAGACTGTCTATTATTAACTGGCTATTTATAATTCATTTGTTTCTAAAATGTCTCAGCGATTGATAAATATTCATGAAAAATCAGAAGATATATACATGTGTGAATAGATAAAGGTTAAAGGAGGAGATATCAACGATAACTTCCCAGATAACACTGGATACGAATTACTTAAAATTAGTATATAGGGCAAGGCAGTAACTTTTACAGTGTAGAAGGTATGATGTCAAAGTAATCCGCTCCTTTATCGAGACACAGAAAACCCCACAAAACAAGTTCATTGCAAAAGATATTAGTAATATAAAAGGGTATATATCTAATATTCTGCAATCCGAAGGCAGAATTTTCGATGACCGCATCGTTGACTAATGATACTGTGAGTGTGCGAACGACGACAAAAAGATTAAAAATACCGTGAAAACTGAAGCGTTGAGATGCTGAAGCTGGAAAAATGACACGACGATGATAATTGGGATATGGCGTAGAAACTCCCGAAATATCTTTTTGATAGGTAAATATAATGCAAACATTCTTTTGCGAAATTTAGTAAATTTAGTGAGGGTGAACAAATAAGTATAACAAGTAAGTGATGAAATGACACACTGAGAGGGAGATATACTAAATCTGACAGCATCTGTCAGTCTCATACACTGGCAAGTAGCAGCTAACGAGTGAATCAGCAGACCAATATCAGTTAACCAGCTTGTAAAATATATATGTTTATATATATAAACTTAAATAAAACAAAACACGAAGACTAGTATAAACGGCTAACGTTTTCGCCCATCTTGGGGCTTAACAACCTTAAAAATCGCCTGAAGAGCCCCAAGATGGGCTAAAGCGCTAGCCGTTTATACAAGTCTTCGTGTTTTGTTTTATTTATATTTTACCGTTACATGGACATTTAAAACTATTTATCGCTATATAATCTTTTATAAACGATAGCACTTATGTAATACAAATTGTAAACAATATTTACCGGATGAAACCAACAAACCAGATGAAGGATGGAATTGAAAATAAGACAAGATAACACAGAACGAAAAAAGTGGAAGAATCGTTGGAGATGAGAAGAAGGGGCGGGGCGAGGAAGGAAACAAGACAATCTCACAGCTCATTGTTTATGAATGAATTGGTAATGTCTGTTGGCTTATTTGTTTCTGTATACTTCAAAAATAATATAAATTTAATGAACGGTGATTTTTAAGACCTTTATTACCCACAAACAAATATCTCTCATCAGGTAAATTGTAGTTTCTATCCGCTCACGCTGAGCTCATGCCAACCACTCAACCTGGGCATATCGGGCCCCACATCTGAACCTCTAATTGTATCCTTTTCAATCATCTGGACCTCTTTCCACCCTTATGTGTGGCCTGTGGTATACTGTTCACAACGGGTTCTCTCTTATAGTTCACAAGACGTTTCCTGAGAGCTCGCTGTCTCTCTATTGCATAACTTAGTACGCACCGCGACCTCCCAACTGTTTTGACTGGAGCGACAAAATAGCTCTGTATGGAGAGGACCAGTCAGCAATGTGACTGTAGACTACAACATTTTAGGTTACAATTCATACAGCCTTTTTAGGCGTGAAAGCCTAACAATGATCTTGTGTGGTCTTACCCTGTTATGTTCCATTATTATTTTATTTTTCGTTTTGTCGATTAGCATAATAATATATTTTCTGAACAATGCTCGAAAGAAAATACTTTCGTTTTCATTTGGGATTCACCTTTTAGGCCTTTAGTATCAGTGTTTAGTCATAGAAAGTCAAAACATATGCATGGTGTATTAGTGGCACGGTTCATAGTCATTATAAATTTGAAATTAACCAATATTCCTCTAGTTTATAAAATTTATATAATTAAGGAGGTTAATGCACTTTCCTTCTGTTTCAATAGCAGTTTCAACTAATTTGAATTCTCATCCTTTTGGTCCCTAGCATCACCGACAAGTCATTGAAGGACGAAACATCTGTATTGTATTGAGAAATTCATTTTTGGCATATTGTATTAATTACCAAATTGTTTATGTGCAATCAATTGTTTGTGTCTAAAAAATATCATCATCTCAAGTCATAAGACCATTTCAATATTTTTTTCTAAAATTTCCAAATAAATGCATCGTATTATACAATTGATGTAATTCTACCTCAAACTACATCAGGAAACACGACAGAAACTACTTATGGTTCAGGATAACCAAACTCCTCCGGAGCACCTAGTGTTGCCTCTGGAGGTTTAGTGTCTTTTCCTGTGTTTTTCAATTGACTTTGAATTCGTGTTAGGTTGTTTTTGTTTTTCATAAATACATTGTTTTTGTTTTAACTTTCAACACATTGCAGTGTTCTTGCCAATAAATGTTGTAGGACAAGACGTATCGGTAACATATGTTGATATAAATAAACTCTATATTTCTTGGTTGTTATCAGATCGGGATATTTTAATAGTAAATATACAGTTCATTTAAAAAAAAATGGTATGTTTTACATATGTAGTATACGCTCAAACTACAATATTTACATTCTGTGTTGCATTTGCTTATTACGGAAGCCAGTTAGTGCCACATGAAGTAAAAAAATATGTCGTAATTACGACTTAGTATGTCGTAATTACGACTTAGTTATCTCGTAATTACGACATAGCTATCTCGTAATTATGACTTACTTATCTCGTAATTACGACTTAGTAAAAACTCAAAGGATGATGTGGTTTTCATAGAATGGTGTGCTTTCGTGGAACGGTTGTAGCTGTCATTACTTGAAGGTGAGTATACATCGATTAAGTTACACTTTTATGGATAGTTTGGGGTTTAAAAAGCTTCAATGAGGATGTATATAATGACGTGAACAAACTTTCAAAAGTATTCGATAGGAACACTATTGAAAGTGTTATGGCTATATCTGTCGAGGGACAGCGAAAATAGGCCAATGTACCAATGCGATTTGTACAATAGGCAAAAGATGTCAATTAAAGTGTGTTATATGTGTCAAAATGCATACGACTACATGTCTGAAGATAGTACACACTCAATATAAGAATGAATACACGCCCCCAAAAATAGCACATGAAACAAGAATTTCATTCAACAGGATATCATTCCATATATAATATTTTGAGCGAAGAAGTCTGTCTTGAAATGTTTTTTTGTCATGAGTGTTTGGCTTGATAAATACTTCGTATTGCACCCTTAAATGCCGTGAAAAATCAAGGCACCGTTTCGATTAATTTACTGCGTAATGTTGACACAATGACATATTTTTTACGACGGATTGTTATGTCATGAAATGTGAAAAGGGGCATTTTTGGACATAGTTTTACATTTAAGGATAAACTTGATTATATTTTTTTATGTTATGGAGATATTAAACAAAAAACCGGACTGTACTCTAAATAAACCGCGAAGCGGATTATGATGAGAGTACACTCCGGTTTTTTGTGTTATATCACCCTAAAAACTTAAAAAATATATTCAAGTTAATCCTTATAATTTAATCTACTATACACTATCCCTGTGAAAATCCACTCTTATTGATAGACTCTTTTCTCTTAGAAAGTATTTCGCCGCTGTATCAGCCAATCAAAAGCGACGTTACAAAGGGCGAACTCGTGTTTTACGTTAGGGTTGGCTGATAACAAATGTTTAAGCCAATGAAAATTCTTGTTACAAGCAAGATCAAATAAGCTATAGATCTGTTGATCTCATAATACGTTTCCATAAGTCGACGTTATATATATGCAACCCGCAATAAGTTGACATGACGTAATATCTGTAATATCGATGCTTTTAAGTCGGACATTATACGTTCATTTTTTGCAACAGGACTTGAAATCATAGTATGCCATTTCAACTTGTGTTACTACTACCGTGTATTGAAATGTGTCTTAAGCACATCGTGGACATTTATGGCATTATGTAAACAAGGAATGGTTTTGCATATGTCGCTTACACTAACTCATCATAAACAATGTTTTGAAATAAGTTATGACAACATCGGCAAGTATTGGCAGACCTATTCCGTGGCAATATCGTCAAATAACAGAACACAAGTATTTAAGAGACACGGTGGTCTAGTGGTAGAACGCTGGACTGGTGATCGAAGGACCGCTGGATCGAGTCCCAGCACAGGCACTGTGTTGGATCCTTAAAGCAACTCCGAACTTTGTGTTCCAGTCGACTCAGCTGTAAATGAATGTCGTGTGGAAGCAATTAGCGCTGTATGGCAGCTCCGGCTGTGTTTCCCCCGGGGAATTATGGAAGGCGGTGGCTGGTAGATATAGAGATCCATAACCATGGAGGATAATTTGTGAATTTGTGAACTGTATTGCTGTTATAAAGCAATAAAAAACTTCAAATTATCAATATTTTTATTTTACTTTATGTGAAAACGGGACTGCGCCAATCCCTCCCAGAACACCACATTTTATGATAAAATCATGAAGCAATAAGTTTATCAATACGTTACACTGATAATTGTTTCCAATGCCTCCGCCAGAAATCGACCCCGGAATTTCTGGTTTCTATTCTGAAGATCTAATAATAATAATGATTCGAGGTTCTTATATACCGCTTTATCACAACCTAGTTCGTAGGTCGTCTCAAAGTGGTTCACAAAATATTATCCGTGGTTATTGGGCCTTTGCAACCAGCCAATACCTTTCTCAGCTCCTTGGGGAGCATACAGCCGTAGCTGCCATTTCGGCGCTAACAGCTAGCATTCAACAATTCTAGCACTGCCCAACCACGTACTCATTTACAGCTGAGTAGACTGGAACAAGCGGAGTGAAGTATCTTGCTCAAAGATACAACACAGTGCCGTGCCGTGACTCGATCCCGTAACCCTTCGGTCACGAGCCCGGCGTCCTACCACTCGACCACCGTGCCTCCAAGATAAATTCGCCCTGTCGACAGGAAGCGGCTAATATTTACCCGAGTGACATACTATCCATTTCACAATTATTTGTTAAATTTGGGCGTCAGCACGAATACGGAATTATAGACTGAGTGCACATTTTTACAATTTTCAATGATAATTCATGACAGAAATGTTTTGCATCAACTCACTATAGCTACATTCTGGCAGGATAAAGTTATCAAACATGTGTAGATGTATTTTCCAAAACGTTGCTATATAACTAGGGCACATTGTGTCGTCACATGTTTTTTAGATCCCGTCCTACCATGTTGAGCTCTCTGTTAATAAACTTCTTCAACAATTATGTCATGCGTGGTTGCCAAGATTGAAGCACGCAGGGTGTCTTACTGTGGGAGGAAACCGGAGTGTCTGGATTGAACCGAAGTGGTCTGGCAGGTGACCCGATACATTTTCACATCCGATCGGAGAATCAAAATATGGCTGTCTTGGTATAAAGCAAATGCGCTATCCTTTGAGCCACCAATCCACCTGTATCATTGTATACTTAATTTGACTCGTTTTATATTTCAGATGGACAGAAACAAACTGTGTAAATTCTACTTTCATCTGGGGTTGCCGTACAAGCATATATTAAGTTTCCTAGCTGAAGGACATGGAATATGCATCAGTTTGAGAACGCTTAAAAGAATTTTGCGAGGTGAGGGTCTCTTCCGTAGAAAGTTCCATACGGATATCCTTGATGCTGCATTATTCATACAAGAGAAAATAACATCGATAGGTAATCAGCAAGGCTATCGATGGATGCACCTGCAGTGCTTACATCAAGGTATCACCATACCAAGAGACAATGTTCAATTTCTGATGCAACTGTTGGATCCTATTGGAGTCGAGTTGCGTCTAAGGAAACGGTTAAGAAGGCGGCGATATTTCTCGAAAGGTCCCGATTTTCTTTGGCACGTAGATGCATATGACAAGTTGAAGCGGTACGGGCTATGCATCAGTGGGTGCATTGATGGATTTTCACGGCATCTGATATGGTTGAATGTGTATACTACCAGCAGCGACCCCAGAGTTATTGCTGGATATTACATGGAAGCTGTAGATTCTAGGAAAGGATGCCCCTCTCTCATGCGTGGAGACAATGGTACCGAAAATGGACATGTTGCCCAGATGCAGAATTTCATGACGAGGAATAATACCTTCATTTTCGGTAGAAGCACTGCAAATCAGAGAATAGAAATGTTTTGGTTTTTTTTGAGGAAGCAGTGCTGCCAGTACTGGATGGATGCGCTAGGTGTACTGGCAGACGAGGGATTGTTCAATGAGAGTTTCTTTGACAGAAATTTGATTCAGTTCTGCTGCATGGCCTTACTCCAGGTAAGAAAACACGGTTTATAACGAAAATTTACCGGGGCTCATGTACATGTATACTTAATTCACTACCAACGCATGTATGAACTTTTTTCTTTGCGCGTATGCATTGCCAGTCTTATACACTTGGTGAAAATACATCCATTCTTTGTTGTGATATCTTGTTCACAACATGCGAACGGACGGACGACGGAGTTCCGGTTTATTATTTCGAATTCAAATCTCATATTTCATCAAATATCTTATTAAAGATATGATACTTTATCTTATATACTTTGTTTAAACAAAGGACTCTTTTTTATAT